TCCGCGGCACAGTCCCTGGGAACAATGTATGCAGGTGAATGGAATGTCCACCTCATTCGCCCATCAGAAGAAATAAGCCACGTAGTATTCCTGCTGAGATGTGAGAAGGCACCGGGACCGGGCGATATTTATCCATCCCTCTTCAAAGATGGTGGAGAATCCCTGGTTACTACTTTTACAAAGCTTACTGGTGCTAAATGGAGTGAAAATTAGGTGCCTGTAGGACGGGACTTATCGAGTGTTATTTCTGTCTTGAGAAAAAGCATGCGAACACTGAAAACCACCATGGTAGCTGTGGTATCGAAGTTGTTCTCTGCTCTTATCTTTCAAATCTCGACTGAACACACGGAGGCAGGTCCTTTAAAACTAAGCTAGTTTCCATCCTTCAAGATGATTTATCGATCACGTTTTCACTCTTTAACAGTGTTGTGTACGACGAGGGTCGGAGTGCAACGACAATCAGAATGACAATGGAAAAGACTGAGGGCCCGAAAGCTAGGCTTTATTTATCCAAAACTTTGACACTGAGAGCTGGAAACGGAAGAAAGTGATTTAGCAACAAATGATGAAACGTTTGAAAAACAGCAAGTATATAACAGGATGCTGCCAGGTTACTTAAACCTAGACAGTGGGTGATAAGAATCCTTGACCAAAGCCTCTGGCTCGAAAGCCCGACCACAAGGTAGTGGCTCATCATCATCATCATCAACAACAACAACAACAACAGCAACAACAACATCAACAACAACAACATCATCATCATCATCACCATCATCAAAGACAGCAGCAACATTAGTGTTGGCACTGATGCTTCACTGCCATATAACCATGAGTTTCGTCTAGTTATATATATATATATATATATAATTATAATAAAAGCCCTAGTGTGAAAAGAAGAGAAAAAGAGTGGGTCAGGGAGGGGACCTAGTGCAGGCCTATGTCAAGCATTCTGAGGTGCCTACACCTTCAACCGCTCAATCAGACAATCTGGAAAGAAACTGACAGCGCGAACTCCACTGACATCGATTAGCCATCACTTCCTGGAACGTCTCCAGCCACACACAGACGGGGTCATGGGCACTCCATCCTGAAAGGCGTACAACACCAACAACACCCAAGATCTTCGTGATCTCTTTCACGCTTTTCTGTCAAGTCATGTACTATCCACCTCGTGGTTTGCGCTACCCTGAAGGAGGCACGGAGGATAACACTCGTCTCGGTAGACGGTGTTTCGGTATGCGTACCACATGACCTAGCCATCGTAGTCGGTGGAGCTAGATGCTTCCTCTGATTGAAGTACCTGCAGCACAGCCAAACACCTTTTCTAAGCACCTCGTTGCTAACACGCTGACGCCATCCATAACCAACCACGCTTCTGAGGCATCGGTGGTCAAAAGCTGAAGGCGCTTCACATCATCAGTCCACAGAGGCTATGTCTCGAACACGTACAACAACACAGCCCCCACGGTAGCCTGGTACAAGGACCCTTAAGATCCAGTGAGATGCCTTTTTGGCGCCACAAGTGACGCAAATTAGCAAGCGTGATTTGAGCCTTTGAGATTCTTGCACTGGTTTCATCAGGCACACTTCCGTCAGAGCTTATACAACTACCGAGGTATGCAAAGTTTTCCACAATCTCCAGTGATTCTCCTTGAACTGTAAGGGATATGTTTTTAGATGGCAACAATGACATACACAGCTTACAATACTCTCATGCCACATCGACCGTCGCGTGGTGCCATCAGCCGGGTCGCCTTACTTGCTGCATACATCAGGGCGGGTAAGCGAAAACATGCTACTGCTGACGCCTCCCTTTTTACACTTTCACGTTTTCCGTCTTTCACTCTCCCCCGCCCAAATTTGAATACTTTTTCCTCAGGTCCCAGCTCTAGAACTGACCGTTTTGCTCGCCCTGCATCACATTCAGCTGCAGCTTCTGCACGTCCGAGTTCAGTTACAACCCTAAACACTTCGAAGTCTGTTTTCAAACCCCGAAAGCCTGTCTACTTAGCCGATTTCAATGTTCGCACACTGAAGCAATGAGGTCGACAGATGGCTCTTGCTAGTACGCTGGATTCCCTCTGTATTGATGTATGTTATCTGTCAGAAACAAGGACGCAGGACACAAATACTGTGATGGAACTGACTGCTCCCTCGCTCTCTTCCAGGTTCCGACTGCGCACCTCTAATGATGCAGAAGCCGCTGCAGCTGGTAATGCTGGGGTGGGTAATCTACTGAGTGAACGAGCGGAAGCGTCTCTTTATTGGATACCCATTGATAGTCGCCTCTGTGCGGTTCGTTTGGCAACATCTATGAGAGAATCTAGAGGAAGCGAGGTTCATCGCACTTTGTTTATTATGCCTGCTTACGTTCCAACTGACTGTAGCTCCGAATCTGCCAAGGACAGTTCCTATGACGCTCTAGGTGCCCTTCTATGGGGCACCTTCATCATCAGGGTAGACCACTCTCATAACTGATCATCTCTCGCTGGTCCTTTTTTGTTGTCACCCTTAAAGTGATCAGTTGTACTTTGTACAAAAACCCACCGATTTTTAGGCGCCCTTCTGCCACACAGCTGTTCCATGAAAATTGGCCCACCATACCACACCACTCTTCCGTGTTTTTTATCAGCGTTTTTATCTTTTGTCTTATAAGGTTGATTGGGCCCTCATCGCTGTTGCTCATTTTCCAAGAAGTGCTTGCTTTAACAATATATCTTAAATATGTTTCAGCTTTTGTCCTGACGTGCCATCATGGAGGGCATGCAAGCCACCGCACAACCCGGTGTTCATCAGGTTCCCATGTCACAGCCAGTCTACACACCTCAACCGACGATGCCTATACCCGGCGGCATGCATCAACACACCCATTATGGCCCAACTCATGGACAGAGTAACCCGTCTACTGTGCCAGTTTTCGTTAGTTCCGTTCAGCACCAGCCTAACGTAACACCGGGGCCTTATGGATGTGGTGCCCCTCCACTTGGCCAGATTCCAAGCAATATGAACGCCAGGCCAGTCGCACCTAACGTTATTATGACGCGTCCCTCCGGCCCCCCTGGCGATCCAGGCACAGCTTCACTTCCATACGGCCATCTACACCAAGCTGCACCTGTACAGGCACCAGAAACGGGTAACCTGGTCACTTCACAGACACCCTTTTTAAAAGATCAATTAGTTCAACTACGAGCTCAGATTAGTGCGTATAAACTGCTTTCCAAGTCTCAACCCGTTCCTGATACAATATTGATGGCTGCTGAAGGTAGGCAGTTCATTGGACACACTAATTTGAATGGATCTGTTCAACCAGGAAGTGGCACCCAACCGAACACTTGGAATGCAGCTTCACAGGTTGCGTCACAAGCCACTTCCGCTCCAAC